GTTTAGCCAGCCCCTCACCATGCTGGGGCCGGGGCCCCCCACTGCCCATTGCCAGGGTCATGATTCAAATCCTGTCTGGAGGGGATGGATTGTCCCTATGGAGGGGTGCAAACTGGTGTGTGGGGCGAAGGGCTGAGATGGGGGGGTCAATGTGGGCTGCAGGCTGGAAAACAGCCATCACAGGGCCCATCCTCTCCCACCTGTAGGGGCAGCTCCAGGCCTTTCAGGCTCTGCCCGGCCTTGATATCATGAGGGAAGGAGTTCCACAAGTTAAACGGATTTAAAAGAAAATCTGCACCAGCAACAACTCTTGCCCTATGGATTGACCTCCCCCCGCTTGCTGGAAATCGGGTTTTATTGGCAAAAAAAGTTCTAAAATCACATTATTAAAAATATAAATCGTTCTGTTGTACACAAAATAGATCAACACCTGTAATCCCGCGGCCTTCAGTCAAAACACCCACAGTCAATGACCCAGCCCTCGGCCCACCCCCACTCGGCCATCACCCTGACAGCAAAACCAGATCTCCAACCAATCAGAGCCAGGTATAACCTGAGATGATTTGCAAAGACAGGAAGTCCCACCCTCTCCCAAGCACACAGAGAAAGACAGGAAGTCTCACCCCCTCCTGGCCAGTCCCTTTCTCCCGCTACCCCTCCCAGCAGCTGAGGCATGTGGACCCCCCTCCAGCCCCATTGTCAGTTCTGGGGAGCTGGGGGTGAGCACGTGACCGGGGATACTCAGAGCGGGGCCCCACAGAGCATCAGTCCATTTGCCAGACGCCTCCCAGGCCCCACAGGGCTCCCCGGCCGCCTGGCTCCGGCGCCAGTCACACCCGCGTGGCACTGCGTGCGGTCCTGGGGTCGGCAGAGCTGGAAGCCCGGAGCCCCTGCCGTCTCGGCCCTCTCCAGGGCGCCCGGGCTGGTTAGGGAGCCAGACAGTAGGCAGGGCTGGACCAGTGCCCGAGGCTAGCACAAGGGGGTGCTGTGTTGCAGGGTGGGAGTCTATAGGGGGCGCTGTGCTGCAGGGGGTGG